GACCTTACCTGAGCCGAGAGGCTTAACAACAACAACAACAACAACAACAACAACAACAACAACAACAACGACAACAGCAACGACAACAGCAACGATGGCAACGGCAACGGCAACGGCAACTGCAACGGCAACAGCAACAGCAGCAACAGTAACAGAAACAGCAGAGAGGGACAACGATGAAGATGACGACGAAAAAAGGCTACAACAATGACCGAAAAGGATGAAGCATTGCTGCTGCTGGCGACATGCTCATTTGGCCCGAGAAGCACCAGGCCGCATGCGTCCTCGCTGCGGAAGACACGTAGCAGGTCGGCGTCAACTGGCAGCCTGCTCAGTCGAATTTGGCTTCCCGCTCATGACTGCGTTTATACGAACTGCCATATTCACAGGACCCAGGGAAGTGCACCCACGCGGGAAAGGCTGATTCTAGGACAGGCCAGATGGGAGCTGCTTCCTGGACCCTGCCTGCTGCTCTTGGTGGCGATCTCGGTTTCAAGCGGCGAGTCTCGAAGGAAAGCATGACCTCACAGAGTAAGTCCAGAAAGGCACCACCAGCTCTGCAAAGCCACCAGCGCTGTCATAAAGCCGTAGACCCTAAACTAAACCAAGCCCCTGGCTCTGCGTCAAGAGGTAGTAGAGCACGACACCCAAGGAGAAGATATCGGCCTTCGCTCCAGCTTCTGCTTTGCTGTAGACTTCTGGAGCGAGAAATCCTGAGAGCAGGAGGATCTTTGCAGCTTCAAGGATTACGGGTTCTCTACCTTGTGCTGAACCCATGTACCCACGACGACCACTTTTCCGAGCAGCCAGGCGTTCCACATGTCCATTTGGTTGTCTCTGCACCTGTCGCATGCACAGGTGCATCAGAGTACCCGGCTGGTTTCCCCTCCGCTTAATCCCCTCCCCAATGACCGCCTTGGCCAGTCATGTCATGGCCAGTCTGCCACACCCACCGCCTGCTTCCTCCGGACCCCTCTCCCCGCTCCCTCCCCCCTCCCTCCGCCCTTGTTTCAAGACGGGGTTGAATCGAGCAACCGGTCTGGCCTTCTTCAGTTGCAGCCGGGCCGAGGCAGGCGACGTCAAGCATTTACATCTACTACAAATCTGAAAAACAGCTAGACAAAGGAACCTTTTGGGAGGTAGGCTGCCAAGTCGAAATCCGCCAACACCACTCGGCGTCCTGCATCTTGCACCTAGGTAACACAGGCGGGCAACATGCAACATGATCCCACACCTCTGCTGACCTTCGCCGACTCGGAAACACTGCAGAGCATGTAATGCTTCCCTGTCCGTCTTTTCGTCCTCCTGTGCCAAACAAAGCCTCCCAAGATACCGCGCCCTAAAGTATTGGATAAGAACTCATTGCTTAAGACTCTGAGGGGCTGAGTATTCCTGCACATTGTCAAAGGTTACCCCATGGGCGGCATGCCTTTAGCTCCCCTTGGCCCCTGCCCTCAGATTCTGCGCCTAGAATCTGGGCCTTCGGACTTTTGGCCCGCTTACATGGTACACAAGCAGGTCCAATTTGGCAAACCTCCAAATTCAGAACTTGAGCCCTCAGGCGGGCAGCATGTATGAAGCAGGTTCAACTTGGCGTGGAAACCCAACCTGTGGATCTGAAGGATGCAAAAAAACGTCTGGGGACCCCGGTTCAACTTGGCGTGATACCATGATGTTGGCATCCTTCACGTCCCGGTGCACCATTCCGAGAGCGTGCAGGTGCTCAAGACCACGGAGAGCCGAATGGATAGCAAAGCTGGCTTCGGATTCCTTCGCGAGAACAATGCTTTCCACTCGATCTCTTGTCATGCGATGCAGACTGACAGCGAGACTTGCTGGCTCCTTGAAAGAGGTCGCTTGCGCAAGGCTGTAGAGGCTGCAGTCACATCTGTCCTCACATGAGCTCGAAACTGGATCGGTGAGTTCCTTCCTCTTGTAGACTAGAGTGACGAAAGTCTTCAGCCCCCGCAGGGCCCCACACCTCTTTCGGGCATCGCACTTCAATGCTCACTCAGGCGCGAGCCCCCAGGACTCTAGGAACAGAATCAGAGATTCTGTGAGCCGAGGATGGGTTTAGGGCAAACTCTGGAAGTCCAAATCCTGCTGAAGACTTGCAGGCGAAACTCAACTCAAAGACCGCGAAACCTTGCACGCGGAACCCACAGCTTGTATCGAGCAACCCCAGAAACCGACCCAAACAATTTCGAACGAGGCTTTTGGCACCTGCTGTTGCCTTGAAAGCCCTTTTCGCGTGCGTGAACGAGTGCGCACGACCACTTGTTGGCTTCCTACGTCTGCTTCGCCATGCTTGAAGCCTGGACCACACAGCCTTTTGGCCAATTGGAGAGGTGGTCCTTTAGCATCTGATCCCATGAGATTGCCGAAACTGTGGATAACTCGCTTCCCCTCGGCCCTTGATTGCACTCCCGGATATGGCTGCTTTTCTCCAGCCCGTGCTCGCTTTCTGTGATGTGCAGGTGCTGTGGCCCGCTTCGGCCTCGTGCGCATGCAGGATCGCATGCCTCGAATGCTCACCTAGCACGCGCGGTTTCAGACATGACAGGTGAAGCGTCAAGGTTGGGTGGGTTGCTCTGTTGTTCTGCATCGGCTGTCTCGCCCAGATGAAACTAGCTGCCGCAAGCATCCTTTCATGTTGAAAGCTCTCATGCGAAACATACTGCATCAATCCAAGTACTCGGACTTCAGGAAAGCCCTTGAGAAGATTCCGATGACGTGCAAGGCCGCTGGTGGCCATTTTCCACCAGCCGCCGAGGTGGCCAGACGGAGTGTGACGCGGATTAGGCTCGCCCGCTGCATTTGTCCCTAATGCGGTCAAGCCTCTGTCAGCAGAAACACGAACGTCTTCATGCTCTCCACCTCGGGCTGAGACAACGCCGCTCGTTTTCGCATATATGCAGGATCTTGGCCACCTACTCTCTGCCATGATCTCACCCAGCCTTCGCCTTCTTCTTGTGCGAGGCCATGATGGCCCCAAAAGTGCCACGCATCTTGGGAGATTGGTCCAGGTCTGCCTCAAAAAGACCTGGGGACTTGCAAACCCGCTGGCATGCCCGTCTTCCAACATGACAATGACAGAACCCCCCTTGTGCTTGCGAGCAGGTCACCATGACATCTCAAAATGTGCGGGCACTCGGCAGCAAGCAGCATCTGCACTTCGTGGCACCGTGTCGAAGTGTCAGCTCCGCTGACGAGAAACTTCGCGGCAAGGCTCTGCTCAGCGTTGGCTCCACCCAGCTGGACTCCAACGACAACGCAGGAAGCACCAACACCTGACCAGCCGCTAGTCATGTAAGAGAACCAGACACAATGCAGAGAAATTTACGAAAAGGACGAACACAATCCGCTGGTTCGCGGCTCAGCAGCCTAGTACGTCCTTGGGACTGCATTTCAAACGGGTGCAGGCTTCCTGCGGAGCTTCCCGCGAGGCTGCCAGTGTCTCCGCATTGTCGGCCACGTCGGCAGTGTCTTTTGGCTCTATGGGCTTGGCCACGAAGCTGAGTGCGAGAGCATCGCCGTCGTCTTGCATGCGACCGGACCAAAACGACTAAACAGCAGACACCCACTCGACTGGCGTGCTGCTGAGATCGTCATGCTTGAGCCAGGGTTTCGAACAGTCAAGACAAGAGCTGCCACTGAGCGGAAAGTTACCGACAGTGTATCAGATCAGCAAAGGCTGGATGCGTCGTGCTGTGTCCGACATGGGAGAGCATGTTTGCCGCGGCCTGTCAATCAGCTGCTTGAAACCCCAGCGGGTATACTCATGTTCACCTGGCAAGCCAAGCCGCACTGCACTTAGTGCTGCACGTCTGTTGATGGCTCTGGGAATCCATGAAGAGACGATGTTGCAAGCTGAATGTCAAAATCTAACAATAACAACAGCGATACGAACACTACTCGTCTAACCACAATAAAAACATTACCAACTATTATTAGCACTAGTCGTCTTATAACAAGAACGAGAACAAGACTTGAGGTGACGATGACAAAATCGAATAAGAATCCGAAAATGTCAACAGTAGCATGCAGCTATCGCAGGTACCCTTCATAAGAACCCTTGACACCACGGCCTGTTGTCAACATCAGGCCCAAGTTTCCTCAGCGTTTCTCAACGACACTTCTGCAGGAGGCGTTTCATGGCCTGAACCTGAGAAGCCTTTGTAGCCTCTCAAGGGGCGCTTACTTTAATCAGCCACCAAGCTTCCAACTGCCTTCATGACATCCTCGTAGCCGTCATAGCAGTCTGGCGGAAGGAACTCCTCTGCATCTCGAGTCCACATGAACAAAACCCAGCAATGCAAGATTCTCCTCCATCCAAGTGAAATGCAGATCCGGTTCTGAGATTCGCCGCGCGAGCGAGATGCTGTAGGGCCTGAAGAGGTGCAAGGGATTGGGAGGCACTTCCTTGAGAGTTCACCACCGCAGCTACAAGCATCCACTGCATCCTTTTTTAACCTGTGCCAACTACTTCCGAAGCAGAACACTGCCACAGCTGGGCCGACGGCACTGACAGCGCCATGTAGCAGTCCAGCATGAGCGGGAACCCCTCGCCAAACGTCTAAGCAGTTTGAAGGCTACAGCAAGAGTGCGAAGGATTCTATTCAGCCGCCCCACGCCATCAAGAGTCCTCACCCTCACGTTTACGCCATCTGCCTGTCTGACCCTTGCACGCACCCCCGCGCGGACAGTCCTCGCCAACATCCTGCCGGCACCTTACAAGTAGCAGCTTGACAGCCCTCTCACTCCTTCCCTCTCACAGCCGCATGGCTGTTCTCCATAAGGGGCCTATACACAACAATACACGCATTCTAGTTCGGAATATCTTCCGAAAGCAGCAAGATGCCGAGAGTCGTCCTCTGGGCCTCCCGGCTTCTTGAGGTACTTGACCTTGCAGCTCACTTTGACACCGGAATCAATGATGTTGGTACGCGAGCTTGTGAACTAAGCGATAGCTCTAGACGGCTATGGTGGATGCCATGGTTATTTGCAAGAACTCCAAACATTGCCTCGGTACATGGCCTGCGCGTTGGATCAAATTGTGGTGGCCAGCCAAGCAAAAGAGAACGGGGCAAATTGTAAACCGAGAGTAGCACAGGAAGTAGGCTGAATCAAATGAGGCCACGAGCGGAGTGAGCGCGACGGCAGTACTCTGGTAAGCATGATGGCATGAGTGGATGAGTCTATGCCGCGAGCACGAGGGTGTGTGAGCCGGTCAGCGAGCGCACGAGCGAGGAATACGCATCTGCATGAGTGGGTCACTGGGTGGACGAGGGCGGCTTGAACGACGGGCAGCAGCGCTTTCCAGCGTACTTCCGTGTGACGATGGTGATGACCATGAATGCTGAAGGTGGTGATGATGGTGAGTGATGTGAAATCCTGGCTTTCGCCCCCACCGCAAACCCCGGACTCAAGCCCTGTTTCAGGCTATCCGTGGGTTTTCGGGTGAGGCACCGGCATTCTTCGCGAAGCCTTCGTGCCCATCAGCCGGTCCGAAGGGGCATGGGACTTTGCAGCCGACGAAGCCGAGCTGCTTCCCAACCTCCGGACAGAAGATGCAAGCACAGCAGAAGCCAGAGAGAGCTGAAACAGCTCAGCCGCCTGCATCTGGTCGCGAAGTTGTGGTGTACATGGGAAGGAAGGGCTTCGTAGCCCCGCCTAAGAGCCTCGGGTTGGGCAGTCAGCCGCTTGAAGTACTTTTGCTGCCTCTTCAAGGGCCACGCATGTAGACCGGCTCATGGCCTTGCACACACGCTCTCCCGACAAAGCCTCTTTGCACCGTCTCTGACTCTGTGCTCCCGACGAAGCTTTCCCAGAAGATCCCAGAGAGCTAGATCGACAGCCGAGATCGCTTGCAAAGGCAGGCCTCATTCTCAGGACCCACCAAGCAACGCTAAGAAAGGAAAGGTGGCGAAGGCAGAAACCCGCCTTTGCGGCCGTAGTTGACCGTAGCACGGAACATCTGGTCCCACATGAGCTCAACGTTTCGCGGGTCCTAGTGCAAAGCGGGGTTTCGAGACTAATTCTTTTCTAGGGAGTCCGCGTGCGCCTGGCCCTCAACGAAGCGGCTGAGATGGTGCTCGACGATGTAGCATCCCGCTTCACCACCTCTGTCGGGAACAAACCACGGCCCTTTCGAAGAAGACAAAATGCGTCCAAGCACTGACTACCAAAGCCTAACTCCCGCAGCTGGATGTCATGTTCTATGGGTGCTCTACGACTTCTTCAATGACCTTGCCACCTGCTGCGCCGCATAACCCGAAGGTCGGGCTTCGTGTGCTGACGTGATCACAAGCGTGCTCGTGGAGATATACCAATACGAAAACGCACGGAGATGAACCAAACCTCAAGCGTGCCTCATCTGACCTAGATAGCATGCCTACTTTCGCTCAGCAGTTGTCCAGCCAAGGCAAATCTGATTCTGAGCCCGCGGCCAATCGTCACGCCGACTCCGGTGGTGCCATCTTCGGCTTCCACCTCCAGCAAAAAAAGACGTTTGTGGATATCGAATCTATCTCTACAATCATGCATAAACTGCTCACTGCGAGTGTGCGGCCGTGCAGTGTTGATTGGCCTCCACAACCATGCTGCCCATGGCATTGATACCCCAAGATTTGCGGTGGCGCTTGTAGGGCGGATGGACAGACCTCCGCACAAGGCTCTGCACATGATCATGTGGGGCTGCCGGTCGAGACGAGCCCCGTCACGAAGGATTCCCTGCAATGTAATTTCGCTCATCGCATGTAGGAATTCCCCTACACCAAGAGATAGCTGACAATAGCCAAGTCACATTGGATTCGCGATGGGCAGCAACTCATCCTCAAGGTTGCTTTCAACTGCCAGAATGACACCAAACGACATGCGCAAGCAGCAGGCAGACAGTAGGACACTCCCATAAACGATACACCCTCTTGCGGACAGGTCCATGAAGGACGACAGAACCGTTGCCCTTCCCTTGGTGCAAGCATGAGACGGCAAACCGAACCAATTGCTACAGCCCAAAGGCCTCCCCATAGCAGCAAAACACCGAAACCTGAAGCGACTGCCCAAACCGGAATCGACAGCAGAGTTCAAAGAATAGAAGAAATGCACCTGCTTTCCAAAGTTTGGGTTGATTTTCAAGCTGTGCTTGTGTTCCTACCCTGCTAGTCCCACGAGCGCGACGCAAGGACTCAACGCTGAAACGTCACACAGTCTACTGCATCCGAGGACTTGGCATCCAAAGGCAGATTGCCGTTTATCCAATGCTTGTCAGCAACATCGTGGCAGTCTGCGCCTGAGTTATCATCCAGCCACGTTGACTCATTTGACCTGCGGCTCTGAGCCCGCGGCCTTGCACATGCTGCTTGTCGTCACTCTCGGACACGTAAGCCCGAACCTCGAGACGAAGCTGACCCTCCCAGCCTTAACGAAGCCTTTGCCTGGAGGTGCACAAAAGCTCCAGCCTGAGAGATGCGAGGAAAGCTCCGTGCCGCCATCGACGAAGCAGAGCCCCGAAGAGAGCGTAGCTAGTTGGGAATGGGGTGTCTTGGATCTTCAGGGTTGCGATGCCGAAGCCAATGAAGCCCTGCACCTCCCTAGCTTCAAAATCGCTTGCACCTGGCAAAGCGTTCGTTCTGGAAGGTCCAGCCCGTTAAAAAGTTATAACGGCATCCAGCCCGGCTAGCCTGGCTATGGCTACGGTGTTGAAACATTGCACTTGAGCATGAAGAGGAACCACAAACATGAACGGAAGCATCGTTTGCCCGACTCGGACTTTGGGGTGTTACGGTTTCGGGCTTGGGGATTGTTAGGCGTTGGGGAGGTAGTATGTTCGCGCTTTTAGGGTATTCAGGATCTTGGGAAGGTTCACGGGGAGAGTGGAGTCCAAGCCAAAGCGTCCTGCCGTGGCAGCAAGGAGGACTGGGCCTGTCTGGCCAGGCCTCGGACCACCTGGCGCCGTCACAACCGCGGCCCATGACATACTTGATATCATGCAATCTAACATGGCATAACATACCTCCATGTAGTGCGATACACTCCAGGTGGTATGAGAGGCCACAGTACCGCATAATGCTTTTTGCCAGTTCAAATTGCAAGAAAGCCCGGGTAACGCCAAACCTTAAACCCTAAACCCCTGAAGCCGAAAAGCCGCAAAACCGTGAAGCTTGCTAAACAAACCTAAACCCTGAAGCCCAAAAACCCTGATGCTCATGAAAAAAAGAAAACTAAACCCTAAAATTTGTAAGGCCTGTATTTTAGCTGGCTGATGCTGAGCTGTTCCAGGCAGAAAACCTATACTCCCGCTTGCTCTGCAGGCGCCTTGCTGAGAGCGGAGACCTTGGCCAGGTGTCCCAGGCTCTGCAGCCGAGGCAAAGCGAAGGCCAGCGACCTGAGCGCAACTTCATTCTTGGGCTTAGGGTTTAGGGTTTAGGGTTTTGGGTTTAGGGTTTAGGGTTTAGGGTTTGAGGTTTAGGCATCAGGGATTGTTTTTATACATGTGCTCCAAGGCGATGTATAAACTGCTGTCTGCGGATTTTACCATGGGTTTTATAAGGCTTGGTAAAAGGTGTTTGTGGCACCGTGCCACAACAATGAGAAAATGAATAGTCGCCTGTCCCTATTGTGGTAACAATTCCTGGTTCGTATACAGTCTGAGCTTGGCGTGGTGAAGTTCCGGCATCTTGGGAAGTGCACTAACGGTGCTCTTTGCGAGCACTGCGAGCACTTGCACTCCTGAGCGCCCCGGCGACAACGGGAGCTGAGCAGAGTTGACGACGACCTGCAAAGCATCTTGGAGACGATCCCTCTGCTCTAAACATATTGGGGAAAAATGTTCCCTAATGTGTTTGCTGACACAAGAGTGCAGTCGCACCCGCCGGGACACGGCCGCCCAGAGCCGCGCGCTCGCTGATCCTGCGAGCAGCCCGACGACACTGTTCCACTAACATCCCGGTGCCCATGGGCCCCACGTGACAGTTGCTGCCTGCTTGCTCTGGTGGCAGGCGACGGGTCAGTGCTGCAGAGAAGGCGGGGGACCTCAGCTGCTTGCGGTGTTTGGAGCCGGAGCCCGGCGGAGCCCGGGCCCTCGGCATGGCCACGGCCAGTTGTCGAAGAGGCAAACGACGCAGTCGCCGACAAAGTATGGGAAAGTCCTGCGCTTGCTTTGCCGGAAGCGTTTAGGGGCTTCAGAAATTCTCGTTGGCGCCTCGGTTGCCAGGAGGTCGACACCAGAGCTGACATTTTGCAGTCCTGGTGGCCGGGTTCCGGTGAGAGACTGTCTCTGTGCTACAAGTAGCTTCAGTTCAGTCTCTGAGATGCTCCGGGATACATCGGCTCCTGGTTCCGGATCTAGTCTCGCAAGCTGACCTGTGACGCTCAAGCATGATGCACACCGTCATGGTCGGGTCAGCACAAGGCCGGCTACGTGCATATTGCTCTCTATCGTCGAGGCTACTGGGCTGCAACTAAACCAAACAGCTGGACTTGCGTCTCCTAGAATCCCACAGCACCTGTCAAGTCCACGTTGGCCCGCGGCAGGGGCAGCTTGGCCAAAGCCTGGCTGCAAAGACAAAATGCCCCAAGCACCGAGCACAGGCTATGGAGCCCGGATGACACATCTTCGAGACACCGACATCACTGCATCAACAGAGCAACGGCTAGCTCTCTCCATCCCCAACACATCCGCGGCCTGTACATCCGATGCAAGTCCAGGAGAACTCTTGATTCGACCTCGGGGTCTTCTGGGCCCTGACTGCCACAGCAAAATCCCTCGAGTTGCTCAAGCTCACTTTTCGATGGCCAGCTCGTCGTGGCGATCCATACCTTTTGAACCATGCCAATGCTCCTGGTGCCAACTGGAATCTAGACTCTCGACAATTCTAGACCATCAGCAGGCAGGCTGTAAACGACAAAGCCGCACAGCATTACAGCCATCCTGAAGTGGGGGTTCAGGCAGCACAGCCGGTCTTGCAGTTGTGCCATCGCGTGAAGTTGGTCGGAGCTTCCACGCTTTCCAGAAGCTTTGCATCTTCGGACGTCAGTTCGAAGCCTGTCAGGTCCAAGTCTTCACGGATGTGCTGCTCGCTGCTGGCCCCTGGTATCACCGCCACACCTTGGTCCAAGGCCCATCGCAGAAGGACCTGTGCGCTGGTCTTGCCATACTTCTCTGCAATCTTGGTCGCCGCCTCTCCCCGAGCCTTGTTCTGAGAACCACCGAGAGAGCCGTAAGCCGTCACGGCAATTCCCTTGCCCTGGCACCACCGAACCAGATCACGGGTCTCGGCCGGGACCCAGGGATGAAACTCCAGCTGATTAACTGCCGGAGCCACCCCGGTGCTTGAGATGAGGCGATCAATTTCCTCACGGTTGTGGTTGGAAACCCCGATACTTCGTACCTTGCCAGTCTGTTGCGTCTCAATCAGGCCACGCCAAAGGGCCTCATCCCGCTCAGGACCTATCCCCCAACCGTCCCCGCCGTGAAGCAGCATGAGGTCAAGATATTCCAGGCCCAACTGCTCCAGACTTTTGTTCACCGCCCTTACGACATCTGCTGCAGTGTTGCAAGCTCGCACACGAACTTTAGAAGTCACCCACAAGTCGTCTCTGGGAACCGCACTTTGGCGGATGGCCTCTCCTATGTCCAAGTGGTTGCCATAACCTTGCGCGGTGTCGATAAGCCTCCCACCGGCTGCTAGGTACGCCTTCGTCGATGTTATCAAGGGCTGACCCTGCGTACTTTCTCGGCAGCAGGTGCCGTAACCGACAGCCGGCATCGGCTTGGAGGATCCCTTGATTCTAAAGGGAGGCGGTTGCGACAACGCCCTCGCTGGTGTGCTGAGAAGGCCCCAGCCCGCGCAGACGGCGAGCACCAAAAAGGGACGCCGCAGGCAATGTTCAGGTCCATCGTCATTGCAAAAGCCCCTCCTCGGGCAACCGTGCCGGAAAGACCTCGCGAGAATAGGCTGCTCGAAGTTGGAGGGAGCAGTGCAAGCAGCCGCCGGCTTCACCGAGCAGAGGATGAGGCCCGCTGTTCCGCGGCCGTGCGAGCAGAGCGCGAGCGAGCCACAGACCAATAGACACAGACAGTGGTGCCGGAGATTCGGCACCGTTCGTTCGGATTTTCGCTTCATGACAAGCATGCTTGGGCCGTCATTCTTGAGGGGCTGGATACACGAAGTAGCCGAAAGGCACACATCTGAGCGAGACACGCACGGTGCCACGAAAGAGCTTCTTGTCTCCGTAAGACCTGCGCTGCCGAATGAACCACATCCAGAAGCTACGCCGGATCTCTGCTGCTGAGATGCGGTGAGCGAACTTCAATCCGGGCAGGGCCACCAGGACCCTCGAGGTGGATCCTGTAGGGCCAGAGAAAACATGCCCGCATTTTCCACCACATTGTCGGAGCCGCGTCCTCCAGGTAGTGCGGCAGTCGCGCAGCAGCTTGCCGACCTGAGAGCTGCATGAGAAGCTCTCAAGGCCAGGTCTCTTCTCACCGCTTTCCTCTACACCTAACTCTGCTAACTCTAAGTTACCAGGTGCTTTCTGTCGCTCCAGGCCTGAGCTGGTCGGGACAATGCTGCTCCGATCCTGGCCCCAAGCAGACAGCCGCTGCAACACATACAATCGCAGGAAACGAGGAGGCACGAGGACTTTCGGACTGAACAAGACGGCAAAGCAAATTTGTTCAAAAGGCATCCACCGAGGGGAACGGATTGCAACACCCTATAACAGTCACGGCACGAGGAAGCTAGATGAGAAGCATGGACTGCCTGGGCGAAATTCAGACGCCCTTGCGCAGTTGTTTGCCTGCTCATGTAAACTTCGTTTGGAGCAGCTGGTTCAGAGAATGCTCCCGGACACCACGTTGCCGTTCGTTGCTTTGTCAGGCGGGCTTTTGCAGCTTGGGCTTCAAGCAGCCATCTTTTGCTTCTTTGGCGACGCTGTCAAGCAGACCCTGGCCTCCCGCGCTGCCGTGCCAGGCGCGAGCATCCCGACATGACATGTCATCCTTCGAAGACAAGACTTGGGAACCCCGAAGGGCTCCCGCGAAGGAAGCGATGCTCTGCCGTACTTCAAAGTTGCATGATCCGTTGCAGTGCCTCTGTGACAACATCTACTGCAGGGGCTTCACGGGCCTACAACGAAGCAGTAACCTCTGAGCCCGGAGACTGCGAGCACATGCCACCTAAGATGCTGCGCAAAAAGCTGATTACTTGCTGTTCGCTTGCCGCCTTGATTCCACGGCCATGTCCAAACAGAGCTGACCTTTTCACGTCGCTCCTGCTGCTATGCCAAGTACAGACCCTAAGCAGCACGATCCTTGTTAGAAGGACCCCTGCACTTGACCGTCATTGAAGCAACAGCTATGAAGTGAAAGTCACCGCACTTTGGCAGCTCCTGTTTAGCCTTCAAGGCCGAATAATCCTCACAAGCTCCACGTCGTAGTACAGCGTGGCGCCTGCAGGCACCGTCTTCACCTCGGAATCCTCGTCTCCTGCAGACACTCAAGGCCAGGCAGACATCTCGAGATGCAACCTAAAGCTGCCAGGCAAGAGATGAGGAAGTGAACGTGGGCAAGGGTGCGTGGGCAGAGGAAAGTACCAAGCTAGATCCGAAGACCATCCAAATCCCAGCAGCTATTAGAAGACGGTGACTGCGCGGCATGGCCTGCAGCCACTGCAACCCTTTGCCACCAGGCCAAACTTCTGAAGTCAGGCTAAGCAGCCGTGCAAAACGAGCACAAGACTCCTTGGAAGGATGCTTTGCCCCCGCCAAAACTGAGACCAGGTGGTTGTACGAATCGTCCCTGCAAAACTGCAGGACCCGACGCGTCTTGGATCATGGACAGCCCGCTGCAGTCCGCCAACAGGCTTGCTTCAATCATGTCCCTGCAGAGGCTTCCTGCCTTCTCCCCGGCCTTCATCAAATGTAGCGCCTCTGGCTAGGAAAAGCAATCCAGTCAGCTACTGTTCATAAGCACGAACAGAAAAAACGATTGTAACAGTGGAGCCTCCCACATTCCCGCAGCGAATGTGTCATCGGTATTGCACTCGATTTCCACATAATCCTGGTGCAATGGGTCACTCGCGCTATCATCACCTCACCCCTGATTTTGCACACGATTTCGGGTCGCCTTCTTTACCGGGCGCCGTGCACCGCGCAGCGCCGAGGAGTCAAACACCGGCCCGTCAAAGCCGTCTACGTGACCGGTGAACCTAGGAAGGTCTCGGCCGAGGGTCTTTCGGGCTTTAGGGCATGCAGGGTTTGATGGTGAAGTTCTGGAGCAGCATCTGAGATTTGAGTGCTTTGGTGCTGAGTCTCAAACTTTATCCAAACCTTGGCATATGAGCGAACCTCGGCGAGAAGTGTGTCTTACTCGGACGGGAGGCGGTGCAGGGGAACTGGCAACCATCGTGCAGAGGGACAACATTCCCCATCCACCATCTTCTGTACATGCATGAACCAAGAATGCCAACCGTCAACATCCTCCTCTGTCAAGATCGTTGACCGATCCGAAGGAGGAGGGCACCACTGGGCTAGAATTACATCTCCTCTCAGCTACGCCTACGTGCAAAATGAAGTCTGCCTCACAGGCTCGAGACATACAACCCAACGTGCAGCAAAAGGACAGGGCCATCTCGTGGTGAGACCCCGTCGGACCCTGAACGGACCACAAGAAACGCGTCTCTGAGAGGGACCAGGTGCAGGCGCCTGCTGACAGCATGGTGTAGCTGAAGCCGTCTGGTCTGCTCACCTGACAAAACAGGACAGGCGGATCTCTACGCCCTTTCACAGGCTCAGCTGGCGATTCTGACAAACCTCGGCGGCGAGCGCAGGCGGAACCAGGCGAAACCTCGCTGAACTGCAAAATTCTGTGAACCAGGATCATGCCCAGAATGTCCAGAAACTCGTCAGTTTGAAGACACGGCAGCACACCACCCAACACTCCTTGCAAGTATTCGAAGACCACGTGATGTGCTGCTCAGGCACGCCGCTCGACGACCGATGGCAAAGGATGCCCATGGCCTCGCCTCCAGACACATCGGCCACAGCTTCCACTGCTCTAAGTGCACACAGATCCTCTTAGCCTCTTCCCTTCCTTCAGCAAGAATATTAAAGGAAACTACAGGTGGGGAGTTTAGGGTATATAGGGCTTCTATAAGGTATACAGACCTTCTATAAGGCTCCTATAACGGTAACTGCCCACCTGAAAATGTCCTAGAAAATAGCTTCCAAGTCTCGGACAAGCGCCAGCAAGACCACAAGTGAGACGATGGACACACGCCTGAACTTGAAGTCAGGTGCAGGGTGCAATGCATCTCTCCGTCCCTGAACGCACAAAAGGGCCTCCCTTCGTTTCGGCCATGGCTCCGCTCCATCTGATATTGCACGACGATGCAATCACTGGTTGAGCTATGGCAACTAACATGCAATCAGAGGGTGATGAAAACCGCTGGCTTCACTCTTTCAGGTGATCATGGTCGCAAAAGGGCACACTTGGGCAGCCTGCTGCGATTTGCAAGCTGCAATAATGGGAGTTGCGCGGAAGAGACTGGCTACCCACTCTGCTGAAGCTGGCCGCTTGCAAGGTTTTCACACTTATTTTCAAACGCAGAGGGTATAGTCGGTAACCGGACCTGCGCAGGTCCATATTTCAAAAGCTATACCGGGCTCTTCCCAGAGATATGGCACCTTCGAGTGGTACCCACTGAAGCAGCGAAAAACAAATCAATATGCATCTCAGCAACCCACACACACACATGGACACATGGAGGTGAACCTACAAGACGAACCATTCACTCTGTGACAGTGACTTCGCTTTGTCGTCTTCGATGATCTCAACAACCTTGTTGGAAGCCTTGCCGTCAAACACCGCCGCGATGCTGACATCTGCAACTAGATCTCGGGAGACCTCTCCGCTGTTCAGGGTGTCCTCCTTGCCAACGAACCTGGATGTTGGAGAATGCGGAGTACATTCATTCAGGGACTGATTTTGCGGTACTTAGGTTTCTGGTAACCATAAAGGAAGCATACTAGCTGCTAGCTGCTAGTAGATTCCTAGAAACAGGTTCGTCTCCGGTGCAGCGGACTTCAAACCTCCTGGTCGCACGATGGTGTAGTCGATGCCTGATGCACGCAGGTACTTCTCTGCCTCCAACTTTTCATCCAACACGTTGCCGAATGCATTCGTTACTTGGAATCCTGGGCTGTTTTCTTGACCCCAGGCTCGGCCATTCGTCAAGATAGAAGACACCAGCACGATTTTGCTAACGCCTGACTTCTTGGCGGCATCTACCAACGCCTTGGTTCCCAAGTTATCGACGGCATGCGCCTCGGCCCCCATGGCAAAGGGATTGGAGGGGACGAAACCGGTGGCAATAATGAGTGCATTGCAACCAACCAGAGTTTCTGCCAGCTTGTCAACAGAATCCTTGGTGACGTCTAAAGGCTTCAGAGAAACTCCTTTCGTGTCAACCGCCTTGACCTCGTCTACCATGGCTCCCCGAATGGCAATCGAGGATTTGCCCAGCTCTTTCTCTGCTTTCGCAGTGTCTCGCACCCCGCCGATCACCGACACATCGCCCATTTTCGCCAACCTTTCGATGATCCGCCTGCCGGTCTGGCCAGTAGCTCCGGCAACCAGGATGGTTTTGGGGGACGCAGCTTGAGCTGACTCCGCCTGCCCAGCTCCAGCAGCGAGGACCATGAACATGTTCCTTCTGCAAAGCTGTGATTCCTTCTCCGTCCCCTGGCAATCGGGGACGACGGCTGTTCGCTCAAGACGCGGCTGCGCCCGCTCTGCGAGGAAGACGTGCTGCTGGCTCTGCCATGTTTGCCACAGTAGCACGACTCCGATCCCCACAAGAAGTGGGGATGAGCTGCGACGATGAAGCCCCATGCTGTCCATAGGCCGCCTGACACGATCCAAGCTTCTGGGCCTCTCCCAGCTGCAGGAAAACGTGGGTTCAATACATGAACAAAGCAGACATGGAGACAAGCGTCTGCCGCGAGAACCAAATCAAACAGTAACTTGAAGACAGCATCTGTAACGACGCGCAGCTCCACACTGCCACAGCTTCTGCTTCGCTTCCAATAAAAAGCTCAACCCGGGAACCCAAAAAACCCAAAAAACATCCACGAGGCAATCCTCGCGAGCCTGCACCCGAGTCCAGCGCCGCACCCCATTATTGTCGCGACCCCCACTGGTCCTTTCCCTGCACGCTTTGCCGCACCCTGTATCGCGAGTGCGCCACACCTTATTTTCCGCATAAAAATCTT